AAAAAACCTCTCTTTTACTATATAAATTTCTTTGCAAACAATACTACTACAATACTATTGTTTGCAAAAAAATTTACATAGTAAAAGAGAGGTTTTTTAAAGATATCTCAGTACTCACCAGGCTAATTTTAATGCTTTAACCACTATTAGATGCATCTTGACAAGTTTTACAAAAGTTTCATAAGCAAGAAAAATGATTAACTTAGTATGAAAAAAAGTTTACTTTGGGCAAATACTACATTCATATTATAGTAAAGTTATATAGTAATTTGAGTCATATTTTACTAAGATCACGAACCAGTTGACTGGAGAATCATCAATTAAATTAAAATTAGGTTAAAATTAGAATAGAGTTTTTTTATATTATAATCTTATAATATTTTTATATTGTCTATCTATACTATAGATAATCTTTATATATAAAGTAGTATAATAAATTTTTTTTTTCTTTGATAATTATATACTAATTTATTATAAAACTCTTGCTAGGAAGCTATTACAATATTTATATTAGGCAAATACTTAGCTACTTTTTAAAGTATCCAAGTATAGTTATTGTACTAATATCAACCAATAAGTTCTATATGAAGTGCTACCTCCATTTATAAATCTACTATAGCTTAATACTCAGTTATCATATTAGGATTAATTATTTCCTTTATAATTCTTCCTTTTTCTCAAGAGTAGAAGTTTTACCCATTGTAAAATTTAATACCAGATTATCTGTCTGTTTACAAATAACATACCGGATAATAAACCAAATTACCCAAATTTATCCAGATAAATATTCAATCCCGGGTTATCTGGTTTTATTACTAGTACTCTGCAGAAAATTACAAAGAAATTAATCACAGAGTCTTAATGACAATAGCTACAAAGTTTAATTTATATATAAGGCCAATTACTAATTTTAATAATATAAACTTTTGAACTTAATACTTGTATTAAGTAAGCTTTTGCTGCTTAAGAAAATAAGTATAATTTCATTTTTGCCTTGACTTATTTAAACCTTTATTCAAATAAATTTTATATATTTAACTTTAATATTAATAATATAAATTTTATATATTTAACTTTAATATCGATAATATAAAATATTAATTTATATAATGTTAATTAAATAACTATTTTTTTTAAAAAATAAAATTTAAGAAACAGTTTCAAAACCAAAACAAGCTCATTTTGAAGTTACTTGATTTTTGGCATCAGAAAATAAATGCTCAGTTGGTTTCAAGATAGCTAGTATTGCTAAATATTTTTTTGTTAATTGACTTAAACCTGAAAAATCTTTTTCATACTCTTTCTACTATTCTAGAGGCAATTTATCTTGCAGAGCAACAGAGACTCTTTTAATATCTATATATTTATCTAATTTATTTCAGTCAAATCATTGTAATCACAATCATTTTGAAAAATCGAAACAAAATATTAATTGGTTGATGAAGTAATAGCTAGAGGAGTTGTAGTAGTTAAAGGTTCATCATTGACAATAGTATTGAGTTCTTCATAACATAATCTGATAGTTTTTCTTTTATATAGTTAGGCCAGGGACGTATTTTTTTAAGTCTTAGGTTCAGTAATATTGCCAAAAGACCTGTATTGTTTAGATTTCCTCAATATTTCTGAAAAGAATTATAAATTTCTTGTTTAACTTGTAAAATTACAAATTGAATAGAAGGAGTTCTTGGTAGCGGAGTACTGGTATTATTACTTTTACTTTCACTATTATCATCACTTTTACTATAATAACTTATATCAGGTTCTAAAAAAAATAAATTATTAGTTAATACGTATATATATATATATATTAGATGAGACTATTGTTTAAATAATAATATATAGTACTAGAATTAATTTAGCTTTTTATTCTGATTAAATAATATATGAACTTGAATAATACCACATTTATCAATATCTAGTTTAATTTCAGAATTAAATTCTAATTTCAAAACTTCAACAACTGAATACATAACAGACAGAGTTAAGTATCTTTTAGTACTAAATGCTTTGGTTGTCTGGTCAAATAGCTCAAAAATTTTAGTTAACTCTTCGACCAGTCTCTATTCATATTCATTAGGTAAACAATGTTTAAGTTTTTGACCTTCTTTCTTTTCATCTAGATTTCATAAAATATTCAGATTAGCTTCTAACTATATGATTGCATTCTTTAATTTTATTATTCTTTTCTATGATCGATATTTCAAATTCCAACAAGTAGAACAATTTTTAACCATTCGAAAAGTATGAGAAGCCAAATTTATAATTGGTTGTTCTATTGAATTTCCATTATTAACTTTACCAGGTTCTTCACCTTCACTATATATTTCAGTATTAACTGATTCAGAAATAGATAAATGATCTTTTTCTGCTATAGCTATTTGGGATTTTTTTGGTTTTTCATTTTGTTTTGGAGAATTAAAAAATTTAACAAGTTTTTTTATTTTTTTACATACGAACAGACTTTTTGTAAGGCAAAATTAACTGTCAATTGTAAAGTATGTGCTACACATAGAATTCATTTCATCGGAAAAATAAATATGGTGCAGATCTGTGAAGATCTGCGACCATAGAATTTTCATCAAAATTTGCAATATCTCGTGATCCAGCGCTCCAAATTTAACGAAACAAGTACCATTCGATTCGCCTCGATAAGGCGGATCGGATAGTACCAAAATTATTAAATTTTAATCACTGGAATGTGAGATAATCGCGTTTAAGTAGATATTACAACCACCTCATGAACTCGCTAACCAGTGGTCCAAATTTGATAATTTTTGTACCATTCGATTCCTCTCGATGAGACGGTTCGAATGGTATCAAAAACGTTAAAATCCGATCACTAGGTGTCGAGATATTTGCAAAATACATTTCGCAGCGTAGTTCTGTGCAGTTCTGCAATTTTTTCTGTGCAGATCTGCGCAGAACTGCGCCACAAAACGTATTTTGCGAATATCTCGACACCCAGTGATTGGCTTTTAACGTTTTGATACCATTCGAACCGTCTCATCAAGAGGAATCGAATGGTACCAAAATCATCAAATTTGGACCACTGGTTAGCGAGTTTATGGGATGGTTGTAATTTTCACTTAAACGCAATTATCTCACGTTCCAGTGATTAAAATTTAATGATTTTGGTACCATCCGATCCGCCTCATCAAGGCGAATCGAATGGTACTTGTTTCGTTAAATTTGGAGCACTGGATCACGAGATATCACAAATTTTGATGAAAAATTCTATAGTTGCAAATCTTCACAGATCTGCACTATATTTATTTTCCTGATGTTAACAGAATTCTAATTTTAAATTGCCTTTACTATATTGGCCCTATTGTTGGTAACAGCATATATAATTTTTTCCTGGAATACATTTATTAATAATAAATTGATAAATGGAATCACCTGTGTAGAAATATGGTATTTTTTCATAGCAAATTGTTACACTATGCAAGTTCCAATTGGGAGTTATTTAGTAACAAGTAATTCTTATATAACCTTCTTTATTTCATACCATTTATAAATTAGCTATTATTGCAGCAGTTTTACAGGAAGATCCAATTTCATCTTGAAGAATACTAATATTTTTTTGATAACTTAATGCTAATTCATTTTTTATTAAACAATTAGATAGAGGATAAAACTTTGGGTTAATTACTGCTATTATTTGATGAAATCTTTTTTTTTGTAATGTATTTAATGGCTAACTATCAAGTACAATCTATTCTATAACCGCTTTGCTATTTTCTGATTGCTTAATATTTTTATATAGAATCTTAATATTAATTATTTAGATAATTTAGTTTGCTACGATTTTTAAATTTTAGCTTTTAAGTACAAAGTATAGGAACTCTTTCCAATGATCACTTGGACCAAAATTACCAATTAAAAGGAGAAATAAGAAGTCTGTTGGAGAGTTGTATAAACTATTAGAATGGTTTGTAGAAAGGTTAACTGGCTCTA